CCTCCGACCTCGTCGCCGGCTCCGCCCGGCCGGATCTCGCGTCGCGGCTCCGGGAGCCGCCGGATCCGGCCCCGCCGGCGCCCGTCCGCCGCCCCGGGCTCCTCCCCCGTCGGCGACTTCCCGACCTCGCCGGAGTTGCCGCCTCGCCGCCCGGATCCTCTTCTGCCCCGAACCCCGCCCGGTCCGCACGCCTCCGACCCGACCCGCGAGCCCCGTTGACTTTCGCGGAGGTATAATTTGACTAAGTCCCTGAGAGTTTTCAACATTTTTATGCCCTGTTGATCATGTCATAACTCTACATTCGTAGCTCCAATTTGTGCGTGTAATATGTCAAAATGTTCGCTGTGAGATGCTCTACATTTCATTCCATTGCACCATGTTCATTTGAGCTCATCTTGATGCCCGGATCATCATTGCAAGAGTGCTATATGATGTTGTCTGCTGTCTGTTAACAGAACATGCTCATTTGTCATTTTTGCCATGATTGATGTGTGCATCCTATGAGGTTGAAGTCTACATGTGTTTTGTGCTACATCATACCATCTTCACAGTGGTGCCATCCATGTATTTTTGTGAGTTGTGTAGTGAGTGCATCAAGCTTGTTAAGTAGGGTACTTGTTGTTGCTGTTTTGTTAGGCTGAATCTGTTATTTCGTGATGCTATGTAAACCTGCTTCTACAAGTCATTCTATGCATAATCTGGAGATGTTCACTAAAGATGATTTGTTATACATGTCATGCTCTATCCATCCATGCCCCTGGTTGTATTTATAGCCTTCTGTAGCTTGTTCATATCATGCTCCAAAGTTGCTAAATAATGTTGATGTCAGCCTGTTAACATTAAGTTCAGTTTTGCCATGTGATTTTCTAGTGATGCATGCAATGTATGAACTTGTTCTTGCCATGCTTAGCTTCATAAACATGTCTTCTTACTGTTGGTTGCCTTTCCATGCCATGTTTTGCTCTGTGGTGAGTGGTTCAAGCTCACCAACATGCCTACTTATTGTTGTTCCTGCCATGTATGAATCTGTCATATAACTTGCCATGTTTACATGGGTGCCATCATATCTTCTGATCCTTTTTGGCTCATGGTCAGTAAGGGACTTTTGTTATATGTAATTAGTAGATTCATGACATGCCTTTGGTTGCCATGATAAGTTCTTGTAACATGTTGTTTGATAGCTCTAAACATTGCAACCTGATGTTATTTTCTGCTAAGTCTGAAACTGTATTGTTTGCAATCTTGTCATGTGTTTTGGAGCATGTTCTAGTGATTTCTGGAGATAGCCCAGTGTTCATGTTTTGTCATGCTTTACCTGTACATCATGTCCATGCCTTTTGTTATCATGTTGTGGTACTGTAGCATGTT